GAATGTTTGGATCATGTTTTATAGTGATGAAGAAAACATATTTATTTATATTTATAAATTGTGTTGATTTATATATGCCACATAAACTATGAGTTACTTTCATATATATGATTATATTATCGTTGTTATCAATTTTTGTTAACATCAGTAATATAACGATTCCATGCGAAGCTGGTGTAGGTTAGATAATTGTATTGTAAATAATATAATAGGTAGGTACTACTTCACAAATAATCATTTTTCAATTTGTAAAATTGTAGGTGTAATGGTGTAAAATATTTCAAATATTGAAGATTTAAGTATAATAATAGATACCAAAGTAAGAAAATGTTATCACTACTTTATACTTAAATTCGAAATATACTACAGTCAGGTCCCCTATCTTTAATGAATATGGAAGTTTATCGAAGAGTAAGCTTTATTATGGTATTAATTAAGAAAATCGATGTTTTAACTTATTTTAAAATATGAATGATACGTATTATAAACCTATCTACTAAATAATTATACATTGCACACATTATTTTTTAAAGAATACAAATAAGTAAGTATATACATTAAAACATTTATTTTTCTTATAGTAATATGGTAAATTAAACTATTTTTTTCCAAAAATAATTTGCTTACATATTATAATATATATTAATTAATAATTATTTTAGTATTAATTCATATAACATTACTCACTATTATTAACTAATAAGTCAATAACAACAGATCGGTGTAAATATATTCTTGCTATAAATTCTTACCTATATAATATATAAATAATTTATCTAAATATTTTAATGGTACAATTTTACAAAATAAATAATTATATGGGTGGTGAAAAGTATCAAATTCCTCCAAATAAAATGTTTTGAACGAAGACTATGATTTTTTATTTAAATTTTTAAATTATCGAAATTTAAATTTGAAATGAAAATGAAAAATTGTGATTTTTATTTTAAGGTTTTTTTAGGTTTTTACAAGAATACATTTTATGAAATTTTGAATTATAATTACAATAGCTTTATTAACTGCTATTAAAATTGAAAATTTTATGAATATTTAACTATAAAATAATTTGAACATTTTCTTGATTTTAATGAATTTTATTTTGTGAGTTTTTACGCTTATTTAAAATTACCAAAAAACCAAAATGTTAATACATTTTTTTTTTTTTTAATTGGTTGGAAGTGAGCATACTTAGAAAATCTCTCCCTATATCAATGGTTCTCAATTATTTTTTTTACGACAAATTTTATTAAAATCCATAAAAATATAAAATTTATATGATTATGTTTATACAAATCTATGTGAGTATTTGTACTACTTTACAAACTATTTATTCTCGTCTAGGTATACATTTATATCATTTTAGGTGATTCAAAATCTAAACTTTAAATTACCACCTCAAGGTTAATTTTCGAGTTTATATTTATTTTAGTGTGTTATAGGCTATTGGTTAAACGAGACAAATCAAATTCTTTTTTTAAACAATCAATTAATAAATGGGTACTATAGACTTAATTTAACTTTTGATTTAAAAAATTATGTTTGATATAAAATTTAATTTATTTATAGTAACATACAACATTTATTTTAATTCAACAAATAAATAGGTACCTGGATAATGAGTAAAGATTTAATTAATAATAACTAAAACATATTATTATTTTTGTAATAACCTTATCAAAATAAGATAGGCAACATTCCTAGCACCAAACCGTAATTTTAACAAAGTTTTCTAATGAAACGCCTTATCGGTTTTAAAATATAATTCACTAGATTTATCATAAAATTTATTCAATTAAGCTTCATTAATCACATATTAAGTTAATTTCAACATTTGAGGAGGTAATGAGTTAACTATTTAAATATAAACATAATGTAGATAGGTAATCATTGAAAGGTTTGCTCATTAAAAACAATCGCAAGGAGGGATGAGTGTTCAGTTCAAGCCGACTATTGTAAATTGTAGTTGTAATCTTTTTGACAAAATATTTTAAATTTCAATACCTACAATAGTACCTACTTATGTTTTACATAAAATATAAATAAGTGGTGGTGACTTAAAATTTTTCAATAGTAAAAGACAATATAAAATATTTTTCTACACATTGTATGTCACGTATAAATTATATTACTAAAATTTTTGGGTTTCGTTATAAAAGCTATTAAAATTTAATTTTTTGACGAGTGTATCATTTTTTTAATTTCCCTCCATTCATAGATTCGCCATTAGTATAAATATATAACATAATAAAATTTATATTTTAATGATAAAAAAATCATTAAATTTCTTAATTTTTTTTGATTACTTGTGTAATTATAAAACTTTGAGCTGAATAAAGTAAAAACGAATATTAAGATGATTAAAAATTAAAATTAGTTGGAATGAATAATTCATATTATATTAATGATCTTACACAAATGTATGCATGATTTATAAATTATTATTTTAAATATTAGATATTTAGACTTATTTTTTGTAAGCTGTACAATATACATATTTAAGTTTTATTATCAAATTTAAGCATTAGGTGTATAATAAATAAATCATAGCAAATACATTACGGTTAAAAAAAGGACAAATGATTCAAGTTAGGTACAATTTTGAAAATTAAATGTTTGTGAACAAGTATTAAATTTAATTCTACCTAAATATAATATAGTAGTCTGCAATTTAAATTTAATTGTTAATGTAATTATTTTGTTATTTAATATTATATTAAATAGGATTATTTACTACAGTGTATGTGACTTTAGACTTTGAGAATTTATAAATTTTTTTTAAATCAGTTAAATTGTGTAATATTTCATTTTTTATAGCTTATTTTTTATGTTTTATAGTTCATTTACGTAAGTAGATGTATCAAATATCAATATTGTTATTTGTTTTGACTTGTAGATATTTTATTAATATTATAGTAGTAGTGGGTACGAAGTTAATGATAATACCTAATACATTAACAGTGTTACACTGTCGTACTGGTCGTTGGACGTTGATACAGATTAGAAAGGTTTAGTGATTAATTTATTTGTATATTATACAAATGTAAGGAATAAAATAAAAATTAAAACAAACGAAATTTCATCAGTAGACGACTTCTTTTCATTACATTTTAAAAAAAAAACAACAGTAAATTAATTTAAATAATAATGTAACACAATAAGCAATAACAATTTAAAGAAACAATTAGTATAAAAAACATCGATATATTTAATTATAATAATAATTAAAATTTTTAATTTATGGTAGGCAGAGCCGGATTTGTGATGGAGAAAGACCTGGAGCAATTTGTTTTAGGTGTTTCTTTAGAATATAATTTTTATAAAATAAGGCCAAAATGTCACATAAATGCGCGAGGCCCAGGCAGGGGTCCCGTTGACCCTTACCTAAGGCTCCCGTTGACCCTTACCTAAGGCCAGCTTTGATAGTACGTATATTATCAAGAGCCATAACATTAAAATATACTAATTAAGATTATTAAGTGTCTGTATGTGACTGTGTGAGTGCAATTATTATTTTACTAGATAACTTAAAATAAAACAACAAAAATATTGTTATATATTATGAAGTATAATTTTAATATTGCACGTTGTACTTGAGGTATTAAAATAATATGATATATATGTGTGATGTACATGCATAAAATAATCGTTGTAAAATACTAAAATAATACCTATCAATGTATTATTATTATTATGTTTATAGAAATTTAAAAACCGTGATTCATAATTGTTTAAAATTGAAATATATTTTTGTTGGGTTTGAGTTTAAAAGTGTAGTAGATAATTCCTATTCATTAATTCAACACAAAAAAAAAAAATAGAATCGGAATAAGTTAACTTACTTGAAAAAACAAAATTTAATAGGTATTCAAATCAATATCCTATACATAGTGTAAATGTTATTATTTATCTGCGTACCTATACTAATAATAAATTATACTATTGCATGCATGTTTCAGTCTACTTGTATAATAATGAACAAATACGTATTTAATTATTAATATTATTGTGAATGTAAGTACCCAATATTATAAATACTAATAATTAATGGGTGCAACACGGTTGCAAACATTTTACCTTTTTTATAACACGACTGCAACGAATATCGCTAATCAAAAAATTTGATTTTTTAGCCAAAAAACGAACGATTGCGAACGTTTTTATAGGCTACGCTCCCAATTTTATAATTTATGAATATGTTTAATTTTGTTCGAGAATTTAATTAAATTTTTTTTTTTTAAATAAAAACAATTCTATATTAATAATACAATGTTACATTATAGCTACGTTATAAACTAAAATAAAATTATATAAAATAATATAAAGTGTTTAAAGTATTGAATAATTAAAATGATTGCAGAGTATAAATATTAATAATACTGTTACATAATGTATAAACTGAATAAAATAAAAAATAATAATTTTTAAAATGTTTTTCTACATTTTTTTAAAAAATTTTTCTTAGTTAGGAGTTTCCAGTTTTTTGTAAATATAAAATTAGATTCTTGTGGATTTCATAAATTATAATTATTATAATTTTTAATGATGATTCAATTTTAGATTTATATTTTTTGGCCATAAGGTTATGTAAATTATTTTAATAGCGTAATAGCAGAAAATCCTTATACCTACTATTTAATTATTTTAAAAATTTATAATTCACTAACACCTAATCTGGCAACATCGCACGATTAAAGGTAAGTTAAACCATAATTAATAAGTAGCAATAATGGTAATAATATTTAATATTATTGGCATTCAGCAGAGTACATTAGTGATTTAGGGAATAAATAGTGTGTACAGGGTGTATAAATGCATATTTTACCTGATATAATGTTATCTGGTTATCATTATTGTACGTTATCTCTTTATTTGAGTTAACTATAAATTATTGAAAAAAAGTATATATAAATTAATGACTATCTAATTGATATATACCCAAGGCAAAGTACAAATCGAAATCCACCTCTCTAATTCTATGCCAGGCCCGAGATGCGCTTCACAACGATGGTTGTGTACGTGCAGTTTTGAACTTGACACGTTCTCGAAAACATAATTTTTGTAACGATAGTGAACGTTTATGCCTTAAATCTTGAAAATTCTAAAATTCTGTTTATTTTGACGACGACGTTTCACTTGGTATTGGCAGTGTATTTTTAAAGTAATTCCTTTGATTTTCAAGTTTAATATTAGATAGCAAGCAGAGTTATATCAGAGTTATATGTAATTTGCAGATTCCATCAATGAAGCTGAAAGACGTGGAATTCGCGCCTTTGTGCATTCCACTCAGACGAAGACTCGAGACGCTCGCGGCCGCTGCATGGATTTATTTAGTAGTATTAGGAGGAATAACAGGATGGGCTTTTCTTTTGTACATTTTAATGGCTACTCGATTTTGGTGGGCAGCACTCTTGTACGCTTTATGGATCTATCTTGACCGATCAGTAGCGTGGAATAACCCGAATAGGTGAGACATAAAATAAACACGACCAAAGGTCATTTAATGACTTTTTGGTTAAAAAATAAGTATAATAATTAAAATCAATTTTTATCACGGAAAGTAAATATCAACATTTATTGATATTATAAGTTTCAGTACTGTTTTGACATTTATAAAATAATCTTTTTAAATGATAAGTTTATATAGATATACATAATATATGGTAATTCGAATAATGTATGGTACATACCATACATTATTTGAAAAAGAAAAATGTGCATAGAATAGGTTCTCACAATATTCACTGAATTTATATCTTAAGGAATTCACGTTTTGTGTTTATCCTCTGAAATTGATTTAATAAACATACTGAAAACTAAATCCACTTGAAAATTAAATGTAGATTACACTTAAGTGCAGAGCGGAATTAGTAATTTTGAAACGTTCATAATATTATATTTGTTAAATTATTATTTTACATAATATAGAATTACACTTATTTTATTCATTAAAAAAATGAATACCTATAAAAATATTAATACATGCGATAATACCCATACAAAAATTACATAATTTTAAATTGAATAACTGTAAATATTTATTAATCACTAGGCTATTAATAACATAAATATTATGAAATGAGTATAACCTTGAAAAATAATTGTACATTCATTAAAAATGATTCTATGCTGAGTACTCAAAATTAAAATTATTATTTTTTGAATTTTGTACGATTAAATTAATAATATGGATTAATTCATTAAAATGTATTAACTATTGAACATAAAAATATTATTTTGAGCTTAAAAGATTATTTTTATTGATATTGTATCGATTAATAAAGTTTAATAATATTAATTTATAGAAGTTGTTAAATGTTTCTTTATAGTAAATAAAGTAGAATTACACTTTAAATTTATACTACAGCTATAGAGTATAGATAAATGTGTCTAAAAATAATTAATATTTTCATTTTTACTAAATAAATAATTATCCTTATTTTAAAATTAGAATCATGCAATAATATTATGTTTTTAAAATGGTCTGTATTGAAAAATTATCAGAATAATGTTCTTTTGCCGTATTAGTAGTTTTTAGTTATTAGGTATTTGTTACTTAATAGTTAATACCGATACGTAAAAGGTCAATATACAAATATTAAATAAATTGAACCAGTTGTTTTGTAGATATCAGACTTACTTTAGACTAGAGTAACATTGTGAATAGTTGATTAATATTTAAAATTAACTATGACGTATGATGTTTAATGGGTTTGAACTGATAAAAGAGATATTGTATTACTAGTTTATATAAAAATATTTTACCATCTTCCGGATCCAACGGTATTATAAAATCATTTTACATTATAGCAAATGAATACACATAGTTTTAGCTGATGAGAGATAGCAACAATAAATGCATTCATTTTACGATAATGTGCGTTAAAAAAAAACTTCGAAAATACATAGTAAAAAAGTTATTTGACCTTCAAATTTGGGGATGAGGGTTTCTGATAATTTGGGATCAAAAATTAAGTTAAGCAAAACATAAGATAAAAAATCCCAATTACTTTTCTTAATATTATTCGAGAAAAACTAAAAAAAAAACTGAAATAATGGAAATATTTACACAATATCATATTTATGAACAAAATTGTTTTTTTATTTTGATGTAATATAAAAACAAGTAACCTTAGATAGGTACTTAAAATGTATATAAAATATTTATAAGCGCTATTCATTTTTGTACTTGGTATAATTTTTGAAAAACTTTTCACCAATTCGTCAATTTGTACATTGTTTAACTGTACTAAAAAAATTTTCGAAATATTTACACAAATTTTAAACTATTTATTTTACAGACCTTTTACTTCCGTTCTACGGTACCTATAAGGACGTCAGTATTAAAATATAAATGAATAATTTAAAATAATTCATTACATAAATTATTATCATATAATTTATTCGATTCATTTTGGATAAAAATTAATTCAACATACTGTAATATTGATAAATAAATAATTGACTTATACAAATGTTTATAAATTATAAAATTTCTTTAGAAATATTGGCTTACAGTCGTTTTTGGTATGCAATATTTAAATCATAATATTTAACATATATATTATAGTAATCTACTCAATAAAGAGTATCGTTAAATATCTACTATGCCGGAAATAGACGACTTCCATAGTTTTCTATACATTTTTATTATTAACTGTACATTTATAAACGTATATTTAGTGTATAATATAATATGTTATGTTTATAGATTTCGCTTTATGAGAAGGTTGGCATGGTGGACTTACTTTAAGAATTATTTTCCAGTATCTCTAGTAAAAACTCACGATTTACCAGCTGATAAATCGTATCTATTTGCCACTTATCCTCATGGAGTATTGTGTGCTGGATCATTTTCTAATTTTGCGACGGATGCAGGCCAATTTTCAGAATTATTTCCTGGTCTCACGTCACATCTTATAACTCTCAACTTACACTTTAGCATGCCATTCACCCGCGAAATTGGCATTGGTTTATGTGAGTATATTAATTTCATTACAAATTCGATGTATGTATCAATTGACAACCAACAACTGTTATTTAAGTATAATTTATTGACATAGTTTTTAAAATTAAATACAAATATAAGATTTTCTACCTCGTGAATCTTTAAATCTAATTAGGTACATGTTTAAGTCGGATAATGATTTAATTTTGTATTAATAAAGTTTACTTAAAAAAAAATTATTTAAAAAAAAATATTTGACTTAATTGAATGATTTTATCTATAAATATATTATACCTAATAATATACGAACATAACGTATAAGCATGTAACTGTATTAATATGACTTAGTAAAAAAAACATTATTTTTGATGTATCCCTAATTCTACATATTGATAATTTAATTTCACATAATAATTTTGAATGTCTTATTTGTATATTACCTTTTTAGTATCTAGTAATTATTTTAGTACACTATTATATTTTGCCTAGACAAAAAGAAATTAAGTGAAAAACAATCAATTTTATTGGAAGACAAAAGACTTTATTTTAAAGTTTTATTAAACAGTTATTTTTTTAATTTAAGTGAAAAGCGACGAATACAATTATGTATGACTTAGTTTATGAATGAATGTATATGTATGAATGATTATCAGAGTATATAAAATAATATATTAGTTAAAATATTGTTATTTGTAATAATACGTCTATTATTATTTACTTTTTTTGTGATGACCAATGGGTTATAATGGAGTTTTAAAATTTCCTCCAGGTAGCATATTAGTAAACGCATACTAGTACTGAGACTATAAAAGAATATCATTTACATATTATTATATTAATATTACGAGTATATTATATACATCATATTGTATGTAATTGCATATCGATAAGATTATTTAAAGTTTTAATAAACAATCCATTTTTACAGGTCTTCAAGAATCATCTGAAAAAAGTTTGATGAATTTATTGGATAATAAAAAAGGTAACGTTGCCGTTCTTATGGTAGGTGGTGTTTCCGAAGCGTTCAAGTCTTTTCCAGGGCCATACCATCTTATATTAAAAAAAAGAAAGGGATTTATCCGAGTTGCTTTACAAACTGGGTAAATTTGAAATGTCGATACAAAATTGTTTCTTATCGTTATCATAAATTAAAAACTTTAATTTATAGAGCATCATTAGTGCCCGTGTTTTCTTTTGGTGAGACAAATGTGTATGGATTAGGCGAAGCTGAGCCAAATTCAATCTGGGGTAAATTGTTGAAATTAATTAAATGGAAAAGTGGAAATAAAGTACCAGTAGGACGTGGATTTTTCCAATATAGTTTTGGTATCGTGCCTCGTAGACATCCAATTGTTACTGTTGGTAAGTATAAGTACTATATAATTATCTTTATATTTGAAGATATCTTAATAAGTAATACAAGTTAATACATAATGTATTACTTCTATTATTGTATTACAATACACTACAATTTTGTTAATCTAGGTATATTGAAAACTTGTGATAAAATAGTATTTTTTATTGTTTAACATTAAAAAAGTATTAATATACTTTAAACAATAATTTTTCCAATTTTATTGAAAATATTTAAGAAACCAAAAAAAAAAAACTAATAATAGCAATTAGATAACAGTTTGAGAATTTTTAACAGATCTTCAATTAACGAAAATTATTGAACCTAATATGTGGCTAAATAAACTGACCAGTATTACCATTTGTATTAAATTTACCTGATATAATAACTTATATTTCTTGAAGATTTATTAAAAATGTTCAAGCTATCATCTAATTGTTATAATCTGCAGTTTTGTTGATATCTTAAGTATAATTTAAAACAATACTGGTATATATATATATATATATAAGAATAAATATTTATTAACATCTTGTTCCCTTGTAAATAAAACTTTTGAATGGTATTCTAATAAAAAATTATAATAATAAATAAGATTATTCAGAAATTTGAATAATAAATTAAGTATTAGTTTACTCATGATAAGAAATAAACAAAATAGCTAAGTCGTTTTAATAAAAGTATTAGTTAAATCATAAATAAAAATATAGGTAGCTAAATTATTATGTAAATTCGTTCTACTCAAGAAATATAATTGCTATAACCAATGTAAAATATTACATACCTATTTTATGTGATTATGTTTAACGGTTTTTAAAATTATATTGGTTTATTGTTTTTATTTCAATTCTAGTTAAATAGTCATAACTTATAACCTTCAAATCTGATTTTTTTATTGTATATCATAAATATTTATACAGCAATATTACATTTTAAACAACTAAATAAGCAATAATTTTAAGAACAGATTTTATTATAATTACAATTAATTTAGGGACCTTCAAAATACCTAATTTTGAATGATAAGTATAAAATAGAATAATTATCTAAACATTTAAAAAACTAAGAATAACTTGTTTTATTGCAAATTTAATCTAATCTGAATGTCTGACTATCGTGTATTTAAGATGGTTAATTATTGAAACACGAAAGGGATAGAATACAAATTTTGATATTTTGAACAATTGAAGAAGAGGGATACGTTGGTTTAATAGCCATTAAATATAATCATTAGTGACCTGGCGTGACGCGGTGGTTGATTTCGGTCACTATAATGTGTTCCGAGGTCAAGCATTGGCCGGCGTAGCTAGCTCTCGGATGGGTGACCACCCGAATTTTTAGTGACGACCATGGCACACACATACACCCATATGTTCCAACCTTACTTTACTAAACCTTACACAAAATATCTACTGTTCCTATGCACAGCTAATGGCCTTAGTTGTCGGGCTTAAATAAGATTAATAATAATAATAATAAAAAAAAAAAATATAATCATTATCTATTTAAGATTAGATATTACAATATATTTTAAATAACCATATATAATTTTAGTGGGCAAGCCAATTGATGTACCGAAAATTGCTAAACCAGAAAAAGAAGATATAGAGAAATACCACAGTATATTTATCGATGAACTTACTAAACTATTTGAAGAACATAAAACTAAATACTCAAAACATCCCGATGAAATGGAGTTAGTATTAGATTAAAATATAAAATTAATTATACATTATATTTTTTTATAGTCATATTTTCCCTAAATTTAATTTATAGTCCTCTAATATTCTTTATGTTACAACTATTTATTTATTATTATTGTATTTCTTTAAATATTTTAATTTGTATTTAATTTACCAAATTTATGTAGGTGAATGTATCTAATTATATTCAATTTCAGCCTTAATTTTGTATTTGAAATATAGTACTTATCTAATTAAAATAATAATTTATGTTTATGATAATATCTAAGTATAATACAAAAATCAGTTAAAATGCATTTAATGTTTAAACATTAATTATGATACAAAATGTTCAAATTATTCCAATGATTTTTACTGTTAAAATATTTAAGCTTTAAGTATAACTTTATCGAATTTTAAGAACCAATATGAAATAAGTATAATGTTAAAAGAAAACTTTAAGTTATAAATATTAAAAAATATCTATAATATAGTTACTACTAAATAATGTCAACCAACTCAACCATTTATATAATTAGAATATGTAGGTGTGTTAAAATAATGTAACTATTATAAGTCTATTTTTATCTTAAAAATGCTAAAGATCAGAATGTGAATAAATGTATAACGTAAACACATAAAAATGAGTTGGGCTCGCTTAAAAAATTACACTATGTAATACACAGAGTTGGGGACTAGGTACGTATTTAAGGGATGCAAGATATGCAATAATTACCTTGTTTGATAGCTCTATTTTTATACGTGCTTATAATTTTTTGTAACGAATTGTGTTATCTTGTTGGACAATTTTTATTATTTATCACCTTAAAATGCATTGATAAAACGATCATCGTTAAGATATATAACAATCAACGTAAAAGCACTGTGTTCTAGTTTGCCGTAATGATATTTCTTACAAATAGTATAATAATTTTGACACATATAATCAATATATAAAAAGACATGGACAAATATAGTTCGAATAGAACTGGGTAAACAAAATTCTGGATTTTTTTTTTTTTTTATATGCTTATAAGTTATAAGTTATAACATTACACCCGATATTCTGTTTATATTTTAGATTACATCGTTAGTCTTAAATGTTGTGTACATACATTAAGGTAGCGCACAAGGATATGTATTATGAGCATTCGTTTAAAATATTTTACAAACATTATTAGATAATAGCCTTTATGACATATTAACAATAAAATAACCACTGAAATATTATTTGAAATAAAAAACTAGTTTTGAATTGAATGAAAGTTATTTTTTGTCAGATTTTCATGTTATAATAGAGTAGGTACTCATATAATATACTTGTACTTATTATTAAATGCTAGTATTTATTTTTTTAAAAAGGATATAATTCTTTTATAATAATATTAATAAAATATTTAATTATTGGTTCGAATTTCGTTATTGGCAAAATTACAGATCGTAAGCATCACATATTTTAGTTTGTATTAATTTACTTATTTTATTTGTATTACATATAAATTACAACATTTATAATAAAAATAAGGTAATTGATTTGTTTTCTTATATAAGTATAATGTATATAATATATATAATACTCATAAATTAATAATATAAATGTTATAAAATTAAAAAAAAAAAAAAAATACAATAATTTGTATATTATATTTTGATTTGAAGTTAAAATAATTCTAAGCTATTCAGTACAAAAAATTAATTTTGACTATATTTTATCATAATAATTTGTAATTTAATTTAAATTTGATATTTGATGGTCATGCATGAAAATAATATATAGAATGTTACTTATAGTTATAATATTAAAATTAATAAGAAGGTGGCAATTTTTATTTTAGTAATAAATGAAAATGGACAAAGCAGTTTACGGTATTATACTTTTAAAGAAAAATATCGATTTATATCATACGAGAAACGGAATAAGAAATAGGATATTTTGGTTTAAATTAAGTTCTAAACAGAATTTTTTGTACCAACTGTTTAGTGGATATATAACTTTATTTATCTTGTATGATTTGTATAAGTCGTTATGCAATGAATTGTTTATTCACATATCACAGGGATCTAGTTTTTTTTAAGACATATAAACTGGAAAGCTAGTATATAAGTGCTTTGTTTGGCTCGACTCCAAATTTGAATTCCGTATGACCAGATAGAGGTTATAGTAGTTAGGTTAGGTCATTAAATACATATTATAAATTAAGATAAAATTAACATGTTTTTTTTCAGTATGGGTATTCGATTATTTATGTGTGTAAGGGTTTTTATCCTTCATAAATATCTTATAACAAAAAATATATAAGAATTAAGAATCATGTTATAATTTATTATTTTTTTTATCATGATAGTTAAAATGTTAAAATTAATGAATTGTATAGTAGTGTGGTAATTTGTAATTAGTAATGTTTATTATAATTGGAAGACGCGCGAATGCCATGTACAGTAAGTTGTTAATATCTCATTTATTTTAAGTAATTAACTGTTATACCTTTTCATTCATATAAATTTTATTTATTTTACTGTTTTATCGGAAAAATAATATTATACGAGTGTACGAAAAAAAATTTAAACTTACAATATGTTTTATTATTATTATTTGTAATATATTAGGCATTTGTTTTAATAATACCATTTTTTTAAAAAAAAGCTTTAATTCTTAAAACATAAAACATTGAAGTAACAACTCTATAGATAATACATGATCACCAAAAATTACATTAATTTCCTTTAGAATTTTATCTTTAAATTATTTAACTCGTAGAAGTATACAATATACATGTATGAATTAATGCTAATTTAAAATTATCTTATAATGTAAGAGTATATAAAATGATAAATTATAAATCTTGTTCATAATGCCATGATCTGGATCAATTATAATCGACATGTCATAAGTATGTGTGCAATTTGTTTTATTGTAATGTTTTTGACATTATTGATGCAAAAATGAAATACAAACTTATAGAGAAGAATGTTGCGAATAGAATAAACATTCTAAACAAAATCTGTAAAACAATTATAATTAAATAATTAAATTTTATTATCTGATGTAAAGTATCTAGTATCTATTATTTTTTACGTTTAACTCAATAAATATAGGTATATATTTTATTTGTGTAAAATATTATTAAACTATACTTGAAATAAATGGGAACACATTTCAACGAGAAACGTTGTCATGAAATGAATGTAGTATACAGTCTGATAAACTATAATTTTTGTTCATTCATTATATTTAAAAATTATATAGATTATTTAAATATAATGTGCTTACTTGGTCTTGCCACTGATTGTCAAGTTTACACTGTCGATAGCCAATTGATGTAAAAGAAACTGAACTATGAAGTGGTATCCACGTTTGAGGAAACCATTTATTTAGTATGTTGTCTAGTTTTTTTCGCCACAAAAAGCTTCTACGAGCAACTAAATCACGCATCTATAAATTTGATATTAATTAGTTTGAAATAAGTTTTATAAGATTTGCTGTGAAAAATATGTTATAGTATTAGTATTATCATATTATATTACAATAACATTTAAATTCATCGAAATAATTTTTGAACACAATAATAGTGGTTTTAACTTTTAAATACATATCTAATTGTTTAGCTTACAAAGATTTTAAGTTTTAAATACAAGTTAAGTTATAGCTATAGAATACACATTTAAATGTGAATATTATAATAATATTTAATATTTGTAATTCAACATTAAGCCAAATACTCAATTTATCTAAAATGCATAACAAACAATATCATTACTTCAATATAGTTGTAAAATGCTAAATCACTAATAGCTTCTGCATCTTGAATTCTTCTAGATGTAAACGTTTTAATAATAGTTTTCAAATCATGGTCAAATTCTTCGAGAAGTTGATTCAAAATTGTGCAATCTTCAAAACCCTTAAAATTTAAAAAAATATTGTATATTTAATACACACGTATAATTTGCGAGTATATTATGCATAATGTATGTATTTAATAATACATAATATTTATTTTGGATTTTATTTCGTACTTACAGCGTTCATTCCTTGACCATAAAAAGGCACTATAGCATGGGCAGCGTCTCCCATCAATAAAAAACTATCATTAACGTGATATGGATTACACTGTATATAAAGGATACGTCATGATAAAATTATTTAAGTAATCTGATATTGTACATTTTTTGGTTGATAGTTCTATTAAAAAATAACTAACTTTTTTTTTATTTTAATAAAATACCTGCTTACTTTAATAGAAATAAGAGTTCTTGCTTTTCCATTAGTCACTTGGTTTAATAAATGTTCCGGTCGAATCAAATCCATAAAATCCTTAAAGTATTCGTTGAAAAAATGTAAAATCTCTTCTTTTCCAGATTCTAATATCAATGGAAATTTATTCATTGGCATGAATAAAGTACAAGTCCAAGATTTATCTTTATTTGGTAATGCTATCAACATGAATGTATTTCTCGGCCAAATATGAAGATGACCCGGAGTTAAAGTTTCCTAAAAGTTTTTAATGTTATTCCAATATTATGAAATATTATTTTTGAATTTACATTTCCTTACTTTTGTTTCAGTTGATGGTAAGCTTATTTCAAAATAACCATGATCTATATATGTCTGCGAATAATTAAACATTGGCAGACGAATCATATGTTTACGAACAACAGAGTGAGCCCCATCGCATCCAATAACTATATCCGGTTTTACAGTTTCTTGTTGGTTTTCTAATAATCTAAAAGAAATGTGACATTATTTATAAGAATAATGTTCTTACAATATTAAATCAAATAATAATAAACTTACTTTTGAAATGTTAATAGTTTGGAATTAAAATCAACATCGACGAGTTTATGCGAAAAGTTTAATTTCACATTTGAATATTTTTCAAGTTCTACGAACAAATTGTAATTATTTTAAAAGGCTTTTAAAATAACTAAAATATTTAACAGATAATTACTTGTTAATAAAAATGCATTGAGTTCCTTTCTGCTAACAGAATATAAACACTGTAAAAATTAATTATTTAGTTTTTTATTTTTTATTATTAAGTTACCTTAATCACTTAACTTACTGTTAGTACATAAAAAAAAAAAGATAATTTTTTTTATTGTTATATGAAACAAATGATAATAATTTTATATTTTTAGGTAAATAATATATAACTAATAGGGGAATAATTTTTAATATTCTTATCGAGTAGTTCAGCTATAAGAAATGTATAACTTTATTATGAAGTGTTTTTTAATCAAATGTTCAATTAGTATTGAATAATCTATTTACCTTGTTTTTAGTATTAAATTCTACTAGAAACTCTCAACAATTATTTAGCATACTAATGTACAAATAGAATGATTACCTAACCATGGATTAGTTTTAGGGCTTTTATAAGAATTTTGAATAATGATGAAAATGTTCTTGTTTTTCTATTAAATTTTTAAAAATTTCGCTCAGAATAGTTTTGAATTTATTTTACATTAGATATAAATAAAATATTTTAAGTAACTAAAAATAAATATTTGATTAGTAATAATTATAATTTATTAAACTAGTAATTAAAATTATTTTTAATGGTACCTTGCTTTTATTAATATCATACATAATGCTAAATTTCTGGCCATCAATTGAATGAATCATTCTACCATACATAGGTTCTGTAAGTTCCTCAATAACAATATTATCGAGACCGATAAATTGTAGAGCTTTAATGCCTCTTTCTGACAAAGCTAAGTTTATAGATCGTCCTGATGTTGATTTATCAAGTCTAATATCTGTAATAAAATAATTTTGTATAATATATTAATATGCAGGACGTACGTATTTATACAAACATGATAAAGCTTATTATTATTTTCATTACTAAACAATTTAGCTTCTATAGTCATTAATTATAGTTATGTTATTTACAAATATATACATATATACAAAATACATTAAAAATTATTTTTTATTTTTATATTTAATTCAAACTTAGAACGATGCAGAAAAATATCATTTAAATAATTACGTATAATCTAGGGTAACGTATGCGGATAAATAATTTTTTTGGTTTTCTAATTTTGTGTATAAATGATATTTCCAACATATTAACTATTAATAGTTGCTTTGCTCGGCGTTGTCCGTGCACAATTTATTAACCATTAGAAAAATACTTTTCGAAATTTTTATCGATTTTTTTACATTATTTAAAAACTATATAATTCGCTTTTATGATCATCAGACATAAATGTATAAATTTCATTCTAAACTTCCACGAGAGCAAACAACATAGCAGTAAAGTTATCCTCGCACATTTCCTATTAAAATTATACCTCTTATGTAGTTCAAACTTAGTTTAATTTGTTACTAATATTCGTTTTTCATAGACGACTTAGCGTTTAATTTACACCTTTATGATGTGTGTATTAATCGATTATATATTTTAAAAATCAATAGTTTGATTGACTTATAGAATCGGAAAAAGGCTCGAACAAACGCTCGTAAAAAATTTATTTTATTTTATTCTATTTTCCTGAAAAAAATGTGCCATTGATATATTCATATTTTATCGCTTAATATTCCATGGATATGAGTTAAATCCATAAAACTATGGCTAAAAACTGCTACATATTGTACTCTATTATTAAAAAAAAACCGCGCATGATTATCGGATGAGTAGTTTCTGAGATTATTCATATCTAAGATTCATACATGTGTTATTTAAGACATATCCATGTCAACATTTTTTTAAAACCAAATTTTAATGTCACCTATTGGATCCAATTGTGAATCTAAACATTCTAAACCATCTAGAGATCTATTCTAACACTTACAAAAATGTAATCAAAATCGGTCCAGCTGTTAAGAAAAGTTAAGAAATAATTATATATATGAATAAAGGTATTATATTTTAATATAATTATTTGTCTGTATAAATTATAAGAAACTGAATTTATAACTTAATATCGTATATGTTAGAGGAAATATGTATAATATTTGTATTTTATAAAATGTCTAGAAACTCTACACAATTCAAAATACTACATATAGGCAATCAATAAAAATGTTTAAATTATCTCAGCATTATATGAAATGCTAAACAATGTATAGGTAATATATTAAATACATATTATCAGTATTAATATTTTACTATGTTTCTTCATCTAATATACATTCATTTGTAATCTATATTATCGATACTTGCCGAAAGATAATGTGAAAATAATTTTGTCACCATAATTATATACCTAACTAGTCTTTTCATATTTAAATCTTTAATAAAATGTCGTGCATGGAGAATCGAGGCGCCGCGATATAAAAGATTGTCTTAACGTCAAATTATTAAGCGACAATGTGATTTAACTGATAAGCGATAATTTATATTATCAATAGATTAAAGATTTTAATAATACTAAATCAAAAAACAAAAAAAAAAAAAAACTGCATGACTATTGGTTCCTTAAAAATATTATGTTTTAGTCGTTAATAAATAACAATAATAGTAAGTTAATTTATCCGATTAAAAATAATGATAACAATATTTTATATTATTCAAATAAAAGCAATATTTTTGATATGTTACATGATACTAACCAATTTTAAGGACATGAAAGACGAGATAAAATGTTGTTTGAGCTTAATAGTAAGTTTAAAAATAGTACGCGCTCTGAAGTAGATTATAAGTCACTATGTAAATTTTTATCAATTAAAATACAAAATAATTAGAAAAGGATTAATTGTGATATCCATTTGTAATAAATTTAATAGCCGATGTCAAGTGGATTCAATTGATTTCCAGTCAAATGCTGATAAACTTTTTAAATTTAAAATGGTACATTAAAACCATTTCATTAAATCTGTTGTCATAAAACTATTAAAGACAAAAACTGTAAAAAAAGGTGGCTTATAATTTGATTGATATTTTAACTTTATTTGGAACACCTTCCATATTATATCCGACAACAGTTGTGAATTTTCTAACTTAATTGTTCCTAACTTGAAAAATTATAATCCCGATTTGAATATCAACCATGAATCATGGAAAACCTCAACATTCTCAAAGTCGGGAAGTGTTAAGTGGGTAAATCAGGTCATTCAAATATATATAATAATATAACACTTCAAAGTAGAGTGAAAGTCTAAGATTTATATAACTAATTAAAAACCGCGCTTACCATAAAGGTATTGAGAAGTCATCTTATAAAGCAGTTTTTGGTTTTAAAATTAAAGTTAGTTTAGAGACATAATTTCTACCACCAGATATTTTAAAAGATTTGGATGATGAAGAAAGCCTTTTCAATTTGGTAGATCGTAATTCCAATTACGATCCAATTACATTACGATACTTTTAAAGGTGTACATTAGATACAAATATATATCATATATATGTATATGTTAACGGTAATGTGTATAATATTGGTATTTTATAAAATGTCTAGGAACTCTATATCATACCAACTACAGTTGGTAATCTATAAAATTATTTAAATTGCTTAAGCATTATATGAAATGCCAAACAGTATATAGGTAATGTATTAAATCTATATTGTTAGTATTGTATTTTTTCCTTATAAGTATCTACCTCTACTTACATTTTTGTATTTTCTATTATTATATAATAGTAATAATAATTAATAATAGTGTATAACCATAAAAATTAATTTTTCTCTGCTTCATTTTTACGAAAGCATTATATTCTGTAATATTAAATTGGTACTTTGTAGTAAATATTTTCTTGTATACTAATAAAATTAATTATCTTTAGCTAATTATTATTATGAATTATGATAAAAGGAAATACATTTTTCTAGTAATTTCCCTATTCTAGAAATTGCCAATTTTTTTTGTTTGTCATTTTATGAAATGCTTAGTTATTATACAAAATATTTAGGAGATGTAAAAAAAATATATTATACACTTCTTAAACAAATCACAAATTATTATATAGGATTCTTAAAAATTTTATAAAATACCAATATTATACACTTTACGTCTTTACTACTAATATAATATAGAACTGCTAAAAAAGATGTGTTTCAAGAATGTCTGATGTTTATTTTAAATTCAGTTTCTTATATTACTGCAAAAATAATTTTAAATTATAGAAATAATTTAACAGCTTCAAAACCAATTAAAAAAATATACTTTGTCACATTTATACGAGCATATTTATTACAATGTATTAATGTGTATACATATCAACATATTTTATATACATAAAAATACTTTATTTTTAACCATGGCTTTGATTAAAATCATTGTGAGTTCTAAGCCTTTAAGTGGAACTGGAAAGGGAAATGATTGTTTTTAAAATTTTTTTTTTTTTTTGAACATTTTTAGTTTGAAAATTACTAGGTTTTTATCAAAGTGCAGTTCAACTATCCTCATGATAGATAATATATTAAATAATTTATAAATACAAATAATATATTTATTGCTCTGAATATACTAATTAATGACCATATTCATTATAGATATTATACTCAAAACTATATTGTATCAATGAATAGGATTTAATACTTGAAAAATAGTTTACCTGTTCGACTTTCGTAGACGGTAACGTCATACCCATGTTCTGCCATAAAACATGCACACAACGATCCAACCTAAAAAAAAAGTGATTACATTTGTAATCGTTATTGAAACTTAATTTTAATAAATATTATAGTTTATGAAATTATTTACTGGTCCGGCTCCAATAATAACAATTTTAACTCTTGAATGAGAAAACATCTTGTCAGGTTTAAATTTATGAGAAAACTAAAATGAAATGAAGACTTTTTATTAGATAACTTAATACATAATATCGTAATTTACAATATACGTTTCAAAGAGGGAGTATTATGATATAACACTGAAAATAATATCAATACACCCATCAATGAAGAAACCGTATAAAACGTAGTCCAACAAATATGAAGATATATCTTTGTCCTTTGAAATAATATATCAATGTATTACTGTTACTATTTTTAATTTTTTAATTATGAACAGAGAAATGCAAGTTTAGGATTTATAATAAAGTGTGTATTGTACGTCTTGATGCGTGTTTTTGATGTTACCTTCAGGAAAAGTAAAAAAGCTTCAATATCTAACGTTAAGAATAATTTTCTAGTAGAAAACTGGATTTTATTAATATTTTAGAGATGAAAAAAAGGAAAAATTCCTAGTATTTAAAAAAAAAAAAAAGATGCAGGCTAATAGATACTACTCTGTTTTACATTAGGTGTCAAATGGGTCACTATTGCATATGTGTTAAATTTGAATTTAATAATATATCATTGTATATGAAAACAACTTTGAGGAGAAACGGTCTGTTTGGGTTATATTATATAGTTAATATTTTGTGATTGGCTTTTTTATATAGCTATTGGAGTAATTTTTTTTTTACTTTGAGTATTAAGGTAGGTTAATTTTTTCTGAAAATGTTACATTTACATGTACTATTAGCATTTAATTATCATAATAATATATATTAATACCATATTATATGAACTTTTATTATTCAAAATCTAAAATTAAATTTTTGTATGAATTGATAATATCTTAAAATAAATCAAAAATGTCATTGCGTACAATAAAATTCATAGCGATATAAGGTATCACGTCAATTTTTCGTCGAAAATAGTTCGCGCGACAATTATTCGCAGAAAAATTATTCGAATAAGACAATTGTTCGCGCATAAATTGTTCGTAAAATAAAAAATAATAAGACTTGATTATTATGTAATATATTTTGTAATCTATACATCAGTTAATAAATAAAATACTATTTGATAGTGTGAAATTTTAAAATCATATCGATAACAAGATACGTTATCGAACATTATATAATGGGTACAAAAATCCCAATGTGTTCTGGAATAGTAGGTACCTACTAATAAAATCCCGAGTCTATTATGATGGATTTTGAAAAAGCAGCGATGAATGATGTTAAATCTGAATCTCCAAATACCTCAATTAATGGATGTTTTTTCACCTATCACAATGTATTTGACGCCACTTACAAGAAGCAGGGTTACAAAAAAATTACATACAAGATTCTGAATTCGCCTTACATAATATTCGTATGTTACCTGCTTTTGCTTATGTGTCATAAAATAAAATTATGAAAGACTATGAAAAACTTTTAGATTCTGAATACTTTTCTGAAAATGAAGAACTTTTAATGCCAATTAATAGACTATTTTGAGGGCACCTGGATTGGCCGTTTGCATCGTAGAGGCCAAAAAAGAGATCTGATCATCCCTATTAGTGTATGGAATTGTTATGATTTAATAGCGTCAGACCTTCTACGAACTAATAATTCAGTTGAAAGATGGCACAATTATTTTTCGCCTAAACTTAATTCATCCAAACATCCATCAATTTGGAGATTTATACATGCACACCGAAAAGAAGAAAGTATTAATACTTTAAAAATTCAGCAGTATGTCGCGGGTCAAGAACCACCATAAAAAAAAAAAAAAATGTATAAAAATAAAAGTGAAAATTTAAAAAAAATATGTGCAGATTATAATAACCGTACAACAGTTGATTATTTTCGTGGTGTTGCACACAATTTTCAATTGCAAATGTAAAAACTATGTACCTTAATATTATTGACATCCACAAACGTGGACAAATACTTAACATTGTATTTTATTTTTTATGTATTATTAGAATGTTATTATTATTATTTATTTATTTTTATTTAATACGAATAATGTATGCATGAACAATTTTCGTATTCGAACAATTTTCCAGGCGAACAATTGATGCATATTCGTGATATTATATACGTAGAACTATAGAAATATTAAATTCTCATGAATAATGTTTTTAAATTATATCAAAATAATTAATATCATTATTTATCTTTTAAATATGTTATTTCGTCCAAGTTTGAACTTAAAATATCTATAAAAAATAATAACCTTTATAATTTCGTTAGATTTTATTGTTTTAGTGAGAAATACTTATGAGACATTTTGTATTAAATTTTTAAAACTTAGACATAAACTATAAAGCGAAAAGGTTACTCTTTAAATAAAGAGATGTATTCTTAATATTTTTTGTTTTTAAATAAAAGACTAATTTTTGTGAAATCGTGTATACATTTTCAAAAATGTTGACCCATAAAATATTTTTTATAGAAATTTATATAAAAAAATCAAAGATTTTTCATGCCTATTAATACTTCATAAAGAGTTAAAATATTTGTAAAATGTAACCATATAATGAAAATGATAATTTAAATATTTAATGAAAATTGCAAGTATCTATTGTTCTTTTTATTTTTATTAAATACAACAAAATATCAAGAATTGCTTAAGGAGAAATAACTTATTTATAAGTGAATATCGTAAAAAATTTAAATTTTATACCTTAGGTATGAAAATAAAATTTCTTAAGAATTTCTAACTACAAAATAGTTTGCTAATTTTTGCAATTGTTATATATTTTGTCAAATTCTATTTTTAAACACTTATAAAAAAAATGTTGTGACCATAGATTTATGCGATATTTTTTAGCTAAGACTTATAATAAACTTTATGTTAAATTTTCAAACACTTTTTCTCAGCTAATAATATTGAATTGACATTTTTAGAAAAAAAAACTAATATAACTTTTAGTAAAAAATGTTAATGCCTGTAAAAAGCTCAAAAGTAATCGAGATATTTTTGAAGTATAACCGAAAAAAGAAAATGATGATATTGAAATTTGATGAAAATTTAAAGTACATTAATACAGTTATTTGTTTTCAAGTTACTTTAAAAAAACAAAATTTATTTTGTCAACAATTTTCGTAAAAATTCCTTTTTTTCTTTAATTTTTGTTTCGTTTTTCTAGTTAGTAATAATTTTTGCACTAGTCAAATTTAGTACAAGGTTTCTAAATTAGTTTTACTTAAAGTAATTGAAAAATATCGTAAATTTAATATTTTTATCTGGTGAGTGATTATATTTTCTAAAACGTATAAGTTATAAATATGGGGAAGTATCTCTCAGATCCAAGCCCTCCTATTTTAGAACTAGCTATCCTTGTGGCACTATTTTGGCCTCCGTGTTTATAATTTTGAATATCATACCCTTTTTTTTATATTCATGTTATTACACACCTTTTTAGGTTTCGTCTACCACTCGCGTAGTTTTTTATTACCTTGCCCATGATTGGAGAACATCGGACAAACAAAATTGATGCTTAACTTTAATTATGAAAAAACAATCTATGTTCTTTATTATATTTTTGTAAATATACAAATGAGGAAAAAAATATTTTTTGTTGAAACTATTATAGTCAACACATATAAGAGAGTCTAAATAACTGTTATAATCAATTTACTTCCTAGGATTTCAATTTGGATTTATCCTTAATTCCATTAAATTTAACTATTATCTAAAATGTATGGATGTTAGTTTTCCTACTTGGTTGACGTTCATTTAGTTACTTTCTAACTTTTATGGATCACAGCGTGATATTACATACTCTATAAACTTTCGCAAAAACAGACTATCTAATGCAAAAAAACTTTTTTTTCAAATTAGACTAGTTTTTAACACCTATAATCTATATATTAACATAAAAAATTTTCAGCTTTATAGATGATATATATATCATCTATACAAGTATATATATATGTTACAGTAAATTATGTTAAACATTAAAATAACGTTATTTTCTAGTAAATAACAATAATTACCTAACAAACTAGTGATTATCGTGGTTTATTATTTTTTGGGTTTGATTATCGATAATTTCTACATACGATGGAAAATGTCATTATATAATGTTATCTTAATAGTATTAAATACCTACTAGATAGTATTACAGCCGCAGTAGATAGAAATTCGGACTAAGATATTCTGTAATATATAAATAAAGCATAAATAAGCTTAGTGGAGCTTACTAGTGTAAGACTTTATTGTAAATATAATAACTATTATAGATAATATTTTTGTCAGTTTTTCACGGTACGCATCGGATAGACATCGCCATTATATCGTTATATTATTTTTGTATGTTAAAATATTCGTAAAACATTGTGTTAATTTTCTTTATTAATAAAATTCATTATGGATGAACTTGAAATGAAAAACAAATTTAACAACATTATATCTGATATAATTTTAAAAAAACGTAGTGATAATAATAACTCCTTTCTAACCATTGATGAGTACCTATAATATTCGCTTGAATCATCTAAAAATAAAGAGATAATACTTCGAGAAGCAGCAGGATGTAGTAGTCTTATGGGCACACAAGGCTATCAATGATGTCACTGTAAAATGAAGTGCAAAACTAATAAATGCACTTGTCGAATGGTTAGGAAATTATGTAATTCTAAATGTCATAGTTCATTATCATGTGAAAATAAATAATAATAATATAACAGTTTAAATACAAATAACACGATTCACTAATATAGTTTGAAATTAACATAAATCCTTAGTAATTAACGTTATAAACCTTGTAAAATATTCAATAATATCTAATAACATTAATTGCTAGTTAATAACGTTAATATAAATTTAACATCCTTTACTGTAACATATATATATATACTTGTATTGATGAATTTTTCAATAGAAATATTTGTATTTAATTTAAATTTCATACAGTAAATACTGTAGAAAACTCGCGTGAAATGTAAAATTATAAGGTCATTAGATTTAATTTTTTAAGATTACACTATCTTAAATCTCTATGATCGGCGTGGTGTATGTGATTTTTAGTGTACCTTAAAAAATATTTAATTGTATACCTCGAATTAC